GATGCTTGAGAAACAAATCTAGCCAAACAAGGTCAGCCTAAGGGAAGCTAGAACTTATTCCAACTTGCATAAAAAGAAGCTCACCCAAGTTGTCAGAGGCAGACCACCCCCGAGGGATGGGAAAAGTGTCCGTCACGTCGACGGGATTGAATTTCCATTCCCTCCCCCACACCAAAAAGAATAATTTTTTCCAGTGATTGTGGGAGCTCGGGAGATCGGAGATAAGAACCTTGGTTTTCACTCGTTTGGAGATGTACAAAAAGCCATCAGTGGGGAGATATTTGACATTGAAGAATTTCATGAGCAAAGACATGGTGGGGACACCCAGATCATGTTTCTTAAAGAAGACAAGAAGACCAACCAGCACCCCCCAAAAGTTAGGAGAAAGCTGGGCAGGGCAGACATTGAAATGTTGCAAAATATTTTTGATAAAAGGATGCAGAGGAAAGTGGAGACCGTTCTCAAAAGTAACCAGGAAGAAGCATACCTTTTTTGGGATAGAGGAATCGTATAGGGTAAACGTATCCGGACTCCAGAACTGGAGGCCTTGAGGAAACCCAAAGCGAGCAGCCAACACCTTTATGTAAGAAGGAACGATGTCACTATACCCTACGAGCTCGGAGGCCGTGGGGGCACCAACACCAACCTCAGCACTGCCTGAAATCTCCACGCCACTTACTTTGGTTTTGCCTTTGCTAGGAGATTTCAGGGCAGGAGGAGGCTCCTCAGTGCCTCCCTCAACATTGATAGAGTCCACTCCGGGAAAATCATCTATCTCTAACCCCATATCCCCTAGATCAGAATCTTCCTCAACGAACCCGTCTTTTATTAGCGAAACAGATGATCCTATAGCTTCAGAGGAAGCAGACATAGTTGGACAAGAATAAGGAAGCTTAAAAGACCTATAAAGAGGGGGGACTTCGGAGAAACACTCTTTGAGAGCCCAAGGAGCAAGACACCGAAAATCGATGGCGAAAATCCTAACTATGGATTAAGGGTCCAAGAAGAGAGGAAGACGAGACAGTGGAATATTTCGGCTCCTAGCGTAGTAGAATCGAAAAGCCCAAAAATTCCAAAATTACCTCAGACTTGAGGGATCCAGGGCAAGGAGCTGGGAAAGAAAGGGAAAACATACCTAACCGCGAATTGGTGACGGATTAAAGCTAGAGGAGGGGATTCAGAACCAAATCACGCTAAGCCTCCAAGTCGAAACTGGGGTAATAGTCCCTTAGAGAAAACCCTAAAACCAGCGACAGAATGGGAAAGATGAAGTCGTGAAAGGATAAGGAAGCCGAAAGGATCTGTAAAGTGAGGAACAAATCGGTGATCCAGGGGTATTTAGAGCTAACGGTACCTTGGGCCTCGAAACGGGCAACGTGCGCAAGGAACAAGGAAAGAAATGATTACTGACAACCACTTTAAAAATAAAAAATAATAATAATAAATATATATATTCCCGCATAAACTGATTGGGAAGTCATTACTGTTAAATCCTAAGTTCAGCCCTTGCCTGAGCCAGCTCGGCCAAGGGCTGGGGGGCAACTGATGATACTCAGAATGATTGCCGAGCTGGAGCTCGGGAACAGAGGTCAGGCAAGTTGAGCTCAGAAGGTCAGAGCTATGCAGAGCTCGGAAAACCAGAGCTAGAGCTCCCCCTCAAAGCGAGATAATAAGCTGAAGCAGGGAGGAAACAACTAGATACTACAAAAAACTCGAAAAGCGATTTGAAATAACACTCAAGGCACAAAATCTTCAACCAACCAAGATACTCTCCTAAGACTAAGGAGAATTCCTCGGATAGATAGCAAAGATCACAGATCGGATCCCATAGATTAAGGAATACCCCTATAAATACTATGTAACGCCCCCAACAGAGGGGCAAGAACCCTAGTATCACATTGTATATTCTGTAACCCTTTTTGATATAGTAAATAGTGAAGGAATGAGCAAGAATCTCCATTGAAGAGTGGATTATCCGAGCTCTTGAGCTGGTGAACCACTATATTTCTAATGTGTTAATTCTCCAACTCCCCAACAACTCTCAGTATCACTCCCTCAAGCCTAGTAGCTCAGATCCCAATAATTCTAAAATTGTTTTTTTCATTTACTCGTCGTCACAAAATTACATTACGTTGAAATATACCATCAAAACCCTCCTTTAGGCTTATCTAGGAGTGGTAAATATTAAAGTTGAGAGAGGTGTAGATAGTTAAAGATGTCACTTATTTTCGGACTTAAACGTGTAACGAGTAATTTATGGGGACTACAAATAAATAATAGGAAAAATTATCAATAAGTATTACCTTTTTTTTACAAACATCTATTAAGTTCTATCATTTTTTTTTTTTATCAATGAAGTCATATTTTTAATATTTTATTTCAATTAATACCTAATTCCATTATATTCCAAGTTTATCCTTACCCTTTATTTACCAAAAACTTTTCATTCTTTTGCATTCTTATGTTAACTCGACGGCACACTCTTAGGATATTTCAATTACTATGTGACTTAAAATATTTTATGGTATGACAACTTCCGCGGCACACTTTTGGGGCTTTTCAATTGTTATGTGATGTGTTTTCTTGCTCATAATAAGCTAATTCTTACTTCGATTAAGATAATGTTATTATATTATAGATTTTATTGATACATCTGTGTGGTTTTAATTATTCTATTAATTTATATTGGATTTAAAATGATTAAGTTAGGAATTTATTTTAGTCAACAAACAATATCGATGTATTTTTTTTAACCTTTTCTTATTTTATTAAATAATCGACAAATATTATCTCCGATTTTAAGTTGGGTACTCCAATGAAATAAAAAAAATAAGAAAATGTGAGCTTTCTTTGAGTGTTGTCATGAAATTTATGTTACCTGAGTTTTTTTTATGGGTTTCAATGTTAATTTTGTAAGCAATGATTTTTTGTCATTTTAATTGATTCTAAAACTGCAAAAGAATAAAAGGGTTTTGATAATTAAAAAATAAGGACAAAATTGAAATATAATAAAATTTAGGACTTAATTGAAATAAAATATCAAAAATATGATTTCATTGATATCATACAAAAATGATAGGACTTAATGGATGTATGTGGGAAAAAGTAATACTTATTAATAATTTTTTTAAAATAATAATAATTTAAGGAAATAAATACTTGTCATCACTCTAAGTCTGGCAGCTTTTTCTTTGTTCTACTACCAAGATGTATAAAAAATTTGAATCTCTTTTTTTCTGTTCGACTCTTGAGATGTATTCAGAACTTGGAATTCAAATTCTATTTGTCAAAGGGTAAATAAAAAAAGAAGAAGTTGAAATTCAATATCTCCAATAAATATATTAATTTAACAACAAAAATAAATAAATGAAAAANCATTTTTTTTTTTTATCAATGAAGTCATATTTTTAATATTTTATTTCAATTAATACCTAATTCCATTATATTCCAAGTTTATCCTTACCCTTTATTTACCAAAAACTTTTCATTCTTTTGCATTCTTATGTTAACTCGACGGCACACTCTTAGGATATTTCAATTACTATGTGACTTAAAATATTTTATGGTATGACAACTTCCGCGGCACACTTTTGGGGCTTTTCAATTGTTATGTGATGTGTTTTCTTGCTCATAATAAGCTAATTCTTACTTCGATTAAGATAATGTTATTATATTATAGATTTTATTGATACATCTGTGTGGTTTTAATTATTCTATTAATTTATATTGGATTTAAAATGATTAAGTTAGGAATTTATTTTAGTCAACAAACAATATCGATGTATTTTTTTTAACCTTTTCTTATTTTATTAAATAATCGACAAATATTATCTCCGATTTTAAGTTGGGTACTCCAATGAAATAAAAAAAATAAGAAAATGTGAGCTTTCTTTGAGTGTTGTCATGAAATTTATGTTACCTGAGTTTTTTTTATGGGTTTCAATGTTAATTTTGTAAGCAATGATTTTTTGTCATTTTAATTGATTCTAAAACTGCAAAAGAATAAAAGGGTTTTGATAATTAAAAAATAAGGACAAAATTGAAATATAATAAAATTTAGGACTTAATTGAAATAAAATATCAAAAATATGATTTCATTGATATCATACAAAAATGATAGGACTTAATGGATGTATGTGGGAAAAAGTAATACTTATTAATAATTTTTTTAAAATAATAATAATTTAAGGAAATAAATACTTGTCATCACTCTAAGTCTGGCAGCTTTTTCTTTGTTCTACTACCAAGATGTATAAAAAATTTGAATCTCTTTTTTTCTGTTCGACTCTTGAGATGTATTCAGAACTTGGAATTCAAATTCTATTTGTCAAAGGGTAAATAAAAAAAGAAGAAGTTGAAATTCAATATCTCCAATAAATATATTAATTTAACAACAAAAATAAATAAATGAAAAAAATTGGTCACTCAAATGGACCCAAACACAACTTGTATGATATTTCCATCTCCAAAAACATAAAGAAAACATAAAAGAAAAATCATAGCCAAATAAAGGCAAAAAGGTAAACCTACACAGATAATTCTCTAGTTTGAACTAGTTTGGGGTGAATGACAAATTCCATGTCTTTATTTGACTCATGTTGATAACTCTTGAGCTTAATTGATATCGGTGGTATGCTATTCTAGTATAATTTATAAATAAAATAAGTTAAGTTTTAATAAACTTATTCAACGACTACCAATATTCCTCTTAAAACTATTTACATTAAATTTTAGTATCTTGTTGTCACTCTTCACTCTCTCTCTCACACTCTCGCTCTTTCTCATATATTTACTCCTCACTTTTTTAAATTAATCGGTTGGTTTACATTATACCGTATTTTCAGGTACGAGTTATATCTAATTAACTATTAATTTATGACAGTTTTGAAATAAATTTATCAAATTACAATATTTTTTAACTTGTTTAAATTAGGATATTTTTTATAAAGCGACCTTAACAACCTAGAGGGCAACTTGGTCACTTACACAACACAGAGGGGATGGTTAAGTTAGTTAGCAACAAAAGAGCTAATGTCCAAATCACAAAGTACTTCTTCATGTCACATTTGAACACCATAGCTCCGAAAGTCACCACTCTCAACCACCTCAAACAACTCCAAGCACAGATCATTTGCACCTCCCTCCACCACCAAAACCAGTGGTTGGCACTGCTCATCAGCCTATGCAAGCGCCTCCACGCACCACCACCCTACACCCGTCTCATTTTCAACTTGGCCCACCAACCCAATGTCTTTGTCTTCAAAAACTTACTCAAATATTACTCCCAATTGGGTTCCCACAATGACGTGATCACCCTCTATAACCAAACTCAAAAATGTGATACCAAGACCGATGCATCTGTATACCCAATAGTGATCAAATCGGCTGGTAATGCCGGCATTGTGTTCCATGCTCATTTGTTGAAAATGGGTCACTGTTGTGACTGTTATGTACGCAATTCAATCATGGATATGTATGCAAAATATGGTCCTATTGAGACTGCTCGTGAACTGTTTGATGAAATGTGTGATAGGAATGTTGTGGATTGGAATTCGATGATATCGGGGTACTGGAAGTGGGGAAATGAAATTGAAGCGCGGAGACTGTTTAGTATTATGCCTGAGAGGAATGTGATCTCTTGGACAGCGATGGTTAGTGGGTATTCAAGAATCAAAGATTTGGAGAGTGCGAGGAGATATTTTTATGAAATGCCTGAGAAAAGTGTCGTGTCATGGAATGCAATGCTATCGGGTTATGCCCAGAACGGGTTTCCTGAAGAGGCTATAAATGTTTTCGATGAAATGATGAATGCTGGAGTTAAGCCTGATGAGACAACTTTGGTTGCTGTCATTTCCGCTTGTTCATTGCATGGTGATCCTCGCCTCGCAGAATCACTTGTTAAAATGATTGATGAGAAGGGTATCAGGCTGAATTATTTTGTCAAGACAGCACTTCTTGACATGTATGCAAAGTGTGGAAGCATTGTGGTTGCTAGAAAGATTTTTGATGAGTTGGGTGCATATAGGAATTCTGTCACATGGAATGCAATGATTTCGGCGTATGCACGGGTTGGAGATCTGAGTTCGGCCAGAGAGCTCTTTGATAGGATGCCCGAAAAGAATGTTGTCTCGTGGAACTCAATGATAGCTGGTTATGCTCAAAATGGGCAATCAGCAATGGCTATTGAGGTGTTCAAAGAAATGATCACAACCAAGGACTCAAAACCTGATGAGGTGACTATGGTGAGTGTAACTTCGGCTTGCGGCCATCTAGGGGCTTTGGAATTGGGCAATTGGGCTGCAAAAATCCTGACTGAAAATCATATTAAGTTGAGCATTTCTGGATACAACTCTTTGATTTTCATGTACTCAAAGTGTGGAAGCATGAAAGATGCTAAGAAAATTTTCCAAGATATGAAAACAAGAGATGTGATTTCTTACAACACTTTAATCACAGGGTTTGCAGCTTATGGCCATGGCCTGGAAGCAGTTGAACTAATGTGCAAAATGGAAGAAGAAAGTATTGAACCAGACCGCATAACACTTATTGGTGTTCTAACAGCTTGCAGCCATGCAGGCCTACTAGAAGAAGGCAAAAAGGTCTTTGAATCTATCAAAGCTCCAGAAACAGATCATTATGCTTGCATGGTTGATTTGTTAGGTCGGGTAGGTAAACTCGACGAAGCAAAGAGTTTGATTGAAGAAATGCCAATGCATCCTCACGCAGGAATTTATGGGTCACTCCTGAATGCTAGTCGAGTTCACAAGAGAGTTGATCTTGGGGAACTTGCTGCAAACAAGCTCTTTGAGATAGAACCAGAAAATTCAGGAAATTATGTTTTACTTTCAAATTTATATGCTTCGCTAGGGAGATGGGAAGATGTCAACAGGGTCAGAGGGGCAATGAGAAAAGGGGGAGTGAAGAAGACTACTGGATGGAGTTGGGTGGAATATGGTGGTAAGATGCATAAGTTCATCGTAGGTGATCAGTCACATGAACGATCAGAAGATATTTATAGAATATTGGCAGAAATGAAAAAGAAGATGAGGATTTCCGGATACATAGCTGATAAGAGCTGTGTGTTGAGAGACGTTGAGGAGGAAGAGAAGGAAGACATGGTTAGCACTCATAGTGAGAAATTGGCCATTGCGTTTGCTCTTCTCGTTAGTGAAGCAGGAGAAGTGATTAGGGTGGTGAAGAATCTAAGGGTATGCTGGGATTGCCATCTGGCAATAAAGATGGTATCAATGTTGGAGGGGAGGGAGATCATTGTGAGGGATAACAATAGATTTCACTGTTTCAACAATGGGGTGTGCTCTTGCAAGGACAATTGGTAAGAGTATGCAAAGAGTTATGGATTATCGCTCCTTGTAACTGAACACCAGAAGCATTGGTGTCACGCAATAGGTAACCATGGTTGGGGCCAGAAAAATGGAATTGTCTGCAGGTTCAATGCTGGTGATTTGATTTCTTTTTCCCGCAGGATTAACTAAAAGTAGTGGAAGAAATGAACCTTTGTAGATGTCAGTGATTTGTTCTGAAAAGTTATACTTCTGTCCACAAGTTAGTGAGAAGACAAAAGAAAGTAATGATAATCGAGGAATATAATATGATAGCTTACTCATGATGCAGGAGTTTTTCGTTCTTGAATTTTACCGACGGGAAAAGTGTTGATAGGAGCTGTTAAAGGGGTCCTGACTGAGTGACTTTGTGGAGGTCATACAGGAAGCGAATCAACTCAATGGCTTGTTTTGAACTGACACCTTACTTACCATATTGTTATACTTCGTGTTGATGACAATTGGAAGCATCGTAGTGAATGGGTTGGTATTGTCTAGGTAGCATATAACCCACATGGAGTCAAGAAAATAGCAGGCACTGAATCTGTTGCTGCAGCTTCAAGTTACCTGGTGGAGATGGCGGCATGTCTAGATGCTCTGTGGTGGGCTGTGCGAGAGGGCTGGACTTCTTGGTGTGGCATCAGACATTCTGCGACTAGTACAAGAAGCCCAGGGACCACAAGCTCGGGATAAAAAAGGCTTACCATGCAATTAGTTCTACTCTTGATTTGGGTACATGTTAGCTGTTATGAGATTATTTAAAACTCCAGGGGACGATGTCTCTGTTGCTGCTCATAACTGCTATTTGAGGGGTTCGGCTCTTCTGAAATGAGTTATGTTGTGAATTCTTCTGCTCTGGTTTAATGCTAAAATGTAGATATCCAGGAAGCTAATTGAGCACTTTGGACATTTACATGAAGCTCCACCTGGATTGAAACCTTTAGTTTCTTGATTTTAACTCTTATTGACTTTCGCTTACCAAATTCTCCCTAGCAGTTATGTCAGCTTCCTTCGTTCTCCCATGAGATGCCTGCATGGAGTCCTACTGTTGTTCTGTTTTTCCTTCGCCACGAGTGGTAATTGATTTCTTATTTCTCTTCGGAGGTGGAATATAGTTTTCTTCTTCCTTTTATTCTCACTGCTATTAGGCTATCCATGCTTTTGGCCAACTACTCCTCAGTACATGTGAGACCACCATGCAGGATTAATAGCCACCATGGTGACTAGCCCCAAGAGAAAAGTTGGAAAAGTCGAACATTCCACTTGGTGAAACTTTTGGGACGGCAAGACCAACTAGTCCATCTTTGGAACAAAAAAGAGAGGGAGTCAACTCAGAATACAACTGAGGGTCAAACTCTAGTTGGCTTTCCAAGATCGACAGATCAACATGAGAATGTCAAGAATGAGACTTCGAATGCTCCTGTTGCCTCTGGTTCTGCTTAACCCTGTCAAGCTCCCGGTGATGAATTTCACAACGCAGGTCCTAGTAGAAGAGGTCATAAACCCCTGAAAGGAAGACTCTGCTAGACATATTGTATACGCACAGAAGGATCCTTTTTTCATACCCACGCTTGGAATCGGACATATGGTTCACAAAATCTAAGGATAAAGGATCACATAGATATATCCAATTTAAGTTGAAGAGGCCTTTAATGTCTCAAAAAAAAGATCAGGGGAACTTGAAAATAAAAATGAAAGGGGAGAAGAGTGCACTCATTTGAGGCTTAAATTGCTGTAGTGGCCAACTCAAAACACTTTCACAATTTCCAACAATTTTCAAATCAAAATACTAAAAATAATTTCAACTGCATACATTGTCATTCTGCAGGGATGACGTTTGCGCCGTACCAACAACAGTCATGTCGGGCATGTTGCACCATGCTAGAATAGCAATGAAATTGAACGAATCAATGCAAGAACAAACATGAGATTCTGAGTTCAGAACATAAAATAGTCCAACTAAATGCACCAAAACCCAAGAGAAGAAGCATTTTAGCAGAATCTAAAAAGAAACGCACCAACAAATAAATGTCTGCCAGCCACTTCTAAAACACAAATGTCATAATATTTAGACAAAAGTTGAGGGCAGGAGAGAATTAGAAATTAAAATCCTTTCAGCAGGCATTCTAACTACCTTAAATAGGGGCCACTTTCTTAAGTTGTTTCATTGTGAAACGGTAAACCAACAAGTTCTAGACCTTTTATGCTCAGTTTGATTGGCTGCTCTCCAACTTCAGAATCTAGATTTAAACTCTAGCCCTCTTGCTACTGCAACCAGGGCACTTGTACTGCTTGATATGCTCAGCCTTGGCAGGTGTAATCTTTACACATTTTCCATGGAACCATCTCTCACACACATCACAGCAAATCCAGAATTCATCAGTCCCATAGTTATCTCCGCAAGCTCCACATAGTGTTGCTCCCTGTTCATCATCTTCTTCCTCCTCCTCACCATTCTCATCCTCTTCTTTTGGTGGAGGAGGCATCTTTACTGCCTTCGGCTGGGAGTCAGGTTGTCGAGACTGCTAAAAGGAAGCAACAAGACAATGAAAAATTTGAGCCTGAAACCAATAAGAAGGCAAGTAGAATGAAACATGACAAGTTCATGTTAAGCCGTACAGCTTACCGTTTTCGCACTTGATTTGCTTTTGTTGCTGTTGTTGTGTGTGGCAGACTGGTCCTTTGACTGCTTTACATTTCCGGTCACAAGTTCAAATACGGTTGGGAGATCATTGATCATCTGGAAAAGCCTCTTCCTGTAAACAGAAATGCCAATAAAAGTTAAAATCAACTTTGAGTATAAAGAATGAGGGAAAAAAAGAATAGAAAAGAAAAGAAACAAACAAATTGAGTGTGAAAGACCGTTTTTCCTGAAATAACTATAAACTAAGATATACTATATGGCCACATTCCCTTTTAGTTCCTTCAGCACAAGATGCTTCTTCTATAAATTGTATGGCTAAAAGAATATTTCCCAGTTGCATTGCTCAATGTGCCTCAACGTTGGTTTTGGTTTGCAGAACATATATCCACAAGGCAACCAACATAAGGATACAGAAAGTTGGAATTTAATTGTCAGGCTACACCAAGTTATGCCCCAATGATCCAAGTTGTAGAAGTGAGAGTATCCTTTAGTGACGCAAGGCAATATAGAATGCAGAAGGCTCAATGATAACAAGATGGTTTGGAACGGTAATCAAAAACTAACATTTCATGAAACTAAAAGGCCAGCATTTACTTGCTGCAAGATGCTACTATATATGATAGCTAAATATCTTGATTTAAGTCACAACACACTAAAGAAGGTTCACAATCATTCTTTTTAAGATCAAAAAACTTTGTGAAATGTTATCACTAGGGCTCCTATACATCAAGTCGGTGTACACAAATTAAAAGCTTCAAAAACATCCTAATTTTACATGATCATGCTAATAGGCACCACTAACCCTGCGCTACAAAATTCAACAAGATATTAGAGGAGCTAGATACTTATCGGTCCAAGATATTGTAGGAACTAGATATATTACATGAGAACCACAATGGCAGTGCCAACCCTGGTACTACAAAATTCAACAGTATATTATCGCGCTCTAATGAATAATTATAAAAACTGACACAATATTAATCAATGTTCCAACGGGTCACCATATCTTTAACCAACTTAACTGATTTCAAGGTCCTTCCATTTACTTTAAAGTACTCCACCCCAAAATTTTCTTTCGTCCTCTGTTAACTTGTGTGTATTTATATGTATTTATACTTATTTACCAGTACATATAGTCTCGTCTTGCTATTGTTATAGGGTTTTATATATTGTCTCTTGATATAAGATTTCATGGTATCTAGGATTTGAGAGGTATTGACCAAGACTTAGTGTGATCGATTTGATAATTCATTCCACCTTTGTTTGTCACATAGTGCAATTGGTATTCTCTGAATTTGTTCTCTTACTCTTAAATTTATTGAGTGTTGGAGCTCGTCCCGTGTCGATAAAACATCACATTCCAAACTTGTATATGAGACAAGTGGACATTTCCAGCATTATCAATTGGTTTTGGGTTGGATGCTTTGACATAGTATCAAAGTCATACAATGTTTCACACCAAGACTAAACCCATGTATGATTATAACAACACGTAATATAATGCACAAGTACAACAAAGTATGTTCACCATACATTTAGTCAGGAATTACATCATATTCAAGTCTTCTCCACACTAAGAGAGCTAAGGTACCTCCATCATACTATTACTAAACCAAAGGTCCAACTCAAGAATGAGCAATAGAATAAGAAAATGAAGTTTAAACAGCTCATCACTCCTACCTAACTGAACTTCTCTCATTGTTGCCAGAAAAATGACACATGCACACAGATGTTCTGTTGCAAAAACTATAAAAGGAAGGGGCAAAGTGCTATTGTGTCTATTAAGAAAGTACGGAAAATGATAAAAATTGCAGGGCCATCGACAAGGAAAATCATTTTTCTTTTCTTTAATTTGGCCATCAAGGATTTTTCATCCTCCACCATTAGACTCATCTAGTCATCTTTCCTCCAATCTGTTTAACTATATTTCACCTTTGGTTTATTACCCAAACAGTGTCACAGAATGTTTGTAATACTTCACCTCCCAGACAGCTTTCATATATTTAAAAACATTGAAACACCTCGACTAAGTACTAGCTCTGTAACCCCTCAAAAAGAGGGCAAGGGGAGGAGGGAGGCAGGAATATATCTGTCACATGGAGGCTTATTAGTGANTTCCTCAACGAACCCGTCTTTTATTAGCGAAACAGATGATCCTATAGCTTCAGAGGAAGCAGACATAGTTGGACAAGAATAAGGAAGCTTAAAAGACCTATAAAGAGGGGGGACTTCGGAGAAACACTCTTTGAGAGCCCAAGGAGCAAGACACCGAAAATCGATGGCGAAAATCCTAACTATGGATTAAGGGTCCAAGAAGAGAGGAAGACGAGACAGTGGAATATTTCGGCTCCTAGCGTAGTAGAATCGAAAAGCCCAAAAATTCCAAAATTACCTCAGACTTGAGGGATCCAGGGCAAGGAGCTGGGAAAGAAAGGGAAAACATACCTAACCGCGAATTGGTGACGGATTAAAGCTAGAGGAGGGGATTCAGAACCAAATCACGCTAAGCCTCCAAGTCGAAACTGGGGTAATAGTCCCTTAGAGAAAACCCTAAAACCAGCGACAGAATGGGAAAGATGAAGTCGTGAAAGGATAAGGAAGCCGAAAGGATCTGTAAAGTGAGGAACAAATCGGTGATCCAGGGGTATTTAGAGCTAACGGTACCTTGGGCCTCGAAACGGGCAACGTGCGCAAGGAACAAGGAAAGAAATGATTACTGACAACCACTTTAAAAATAAAAAATAATAATAATAAATATATATATTCCCGCATAAACTGATTGGGAAGTCATTACTGTTAAATCCTAAGTTCAGCCCTTGCCTGAGCCAGCTCGGCCAAGGGCTGGGGGGCAACTGATGATACTCAGAATGATTGCCGAGCTGGAGCTCGGGAACAGAGGTCAGGCAAGTTGAGCTCAGAAGGTCAGAGCTATGCAGAGCTCGGAAAACCAGAGCTAGAGCTCCCCCTCAAAGCGAGATAATAAGCTGAAGCAGGGAGGAAACAACTAGATACTACAAAAAACTCGAAAAGCGATTTGAAATAACACTCAAGGCACAAAATCTTCAACCAACCAAGATACTCTCCTAAGACTAAGGAGAATTCCTCGGATAGATAGCAAAGATCACAGATCGGATCCCATAGATTAAGGAATACCCCTATAAATACTATGTAACGCCCCCAACAGAGGGGCAAGAACCCTAGTATCACATTGTATATTCTGTAACCCTTTTTGATATAGTAAATAGTGAAGGAATGAGCAAGAATCTCCATTGAAGAGTGGATTATCCGAGCTCTTGAGCTGGTGAACCACTATATTTCTAATGTGTTAATTCTCCAACTCCCCAACAACTCTCAGTATCACTCCCTCAAGCCTAGTAGCTCAGATCCCAATAATTCTAAAATTGTTTTTTTCATTTACTCGTCGTCACAAAATTACATTACGTTGAAATATACCATCAAAACCCTCCTTTAGGCTTATCTAGGAGTGGTAAATATTAAAGTTGAGAGAGGTGTAGATAGTTAAAGATGTCACTTATTTTCGGACTTAAACGTGTAACGAGTAATTTATGGGGACTACAAATAAATAATAGGAAAAATTATCAATAAGTATTACCTTTTTTTTACAAACATCTATTAAGTTCTATCATTTTTTTTTTTTATCAATGAAGTCATATTTTTAATATTTTATTTCAATTAATACCTAATTCCATTATATTCCAAGTTTATCCTTACCCTTTATTTACCAAAAACTTTTCATTCTTTTGCATTCTTATGTTAACTCGACGGCACACTCTTAGGATATTTCAATTACTATGTGACTTAAAATATTTTATGGTATGACAACTTCCGCGGCACACTTTTGGGGCTTTTCAATTGTTATGTGATGTGTTTTCTTGCTCATAATAAGCTAATTCTTACTTCGATTAAGATAATGTTATTATATTATAGATTTTATTGATACATCTGTGTGGTTTTAATTATTCTATTAATTTATATTGGATTTAAAATGATTAAGTTAGGAATTTATTTTAGTCAACAAACAATATCGATGTATTTTTTTTAACCTTTTCTTATTTTATTAAATAATCGACAAATATTATCTCCGATTTTAAGTTGGGTACTCCAATGAAATAAAAAAAATAAGAAAATGTGAGCTTTCTTTGAGTGTTGTCATGAAATTTATGTTACCTGAGTTTTTTTTATGGGTTTCAATGTTAATTTTGTAAGCAATGATTTTTTGTCATTTTAATTGATTCTAAAACTGCAAAAGAATAAAAGGGTTTTGATAATTAAAAAATAAGGACAAAATTGAAATATAATAAAATTTAGGACTTAATTGAAATAAAATATCAAAAATATGATTTCATTGATATCATACAAAAATGATAGGACTTAATGGATGTATGTGGGAAAAAGTAATACTTATTAATAATTTTTTTAAAATAATAATAATTTAAGGAAATAAATACTTGTCATCACTCTAAGTCTGGCAGCTTTTTCTTTGTTCTACTACCAAGATGTATAAAAAATTTGAATCTCTTTTTTTCTGTTCGACTCTTGAGATGTATTCAGAACTTGGAATTCAAATTCTATTTGTCAAAGGGTAAATAAAAAAAGAAGAAGTTGAAATTCAATATCTCCAATAAATATATTAATTTAACAACAAAAATAAATAAATGAAAAAAATTGGTCACTCAAATGGACCCAAACACAACTTGTATGATATTTCCATCTCCAAAAACATAAAGAAAACATAAAAGAAAAATCATAGCCAAATAAAGGCAAAAAGGTAAACCTACACAGATAATTCTCTAGTTTGAACTAGTTTGGGGTGAATGACAAATTCCATGTCTTTATTTGACTCATGTTGATAACTCTTGAGCTTAATTGATATCGGTGGTATGCTATTCTAGTATAATTTATAAATAAAATAAGTTAAGTTTTAATAAACTTATTCAACGACTACCAATATTCCTCTTAAAACTATTTACATTAAATTTTAGTATCTTGTTGTCACTCTTCACTCTCTCTCTCACACTCTCGCTCTTTCTCATATATTTACTCCTCACTTTTTTAAATTAATCGGTTGGTTTACATTATACCGTATTTTCAGGTACGAGTTATATCTAATTAACTATTAATTTATGACAGTTTTGAAATAAATTTATCAAATTACAATATTTTTTAACTTGTTTAAATTAGGATATTTTTTATAAAGCGACCTTAACAACCTAGAGGGCAACTTGGTCACTTACACAACACAGAGGGGATGGTTAAGTTAGTTAGCAACAAAAGAGCTAATGTCCAAATCACAAAGTACTTCTTCATGTCACATTTGAACACCATAGCTCCGAAAGTCACCACTCTCAACCACCTCAAACAACTCCAAGCACAGATCATTTGCACCTCCCTCCACCACCAAAACCAGTGGTTGGCACTGCTCATCAGCCTATGCAAGCGCCTCCACGCACCACCACCCTACACCCGTCTCATTTTCAACTTGGCCCACCAACCCAATGTCTTTGTCTTCAAAAACTTACTCAAATATTACTCCCAATTGGGTTCCCACAATGACGTGATCACCCTCTATAACCAAACTCAAAAATGTGATACCAAGACCGATGCATCTGTATACCCAATAGTGATCAAATCGGCTGGTAATGCCGGCATTGTGTTCCATGCTCATTTGTTGAAAATGGGTCACTGTTGTGACTGTTATGTACGCAATTCAATCATGGATATGTATGCAAAATATGGTCCTATTGAGACTGCTCGTGAACTGTTTGATGAAATGTGTGATAGGAATGTTGTGGATTGGAATTCGATGATATCGGGGTACTGGAAGTGGGGAAATGAAATTGAAGCGCGGAGACTGTTTAGTATTATGCCTGAGAGGAATGTGATCTCTTGGACAGCGATGGTTAGTGGGTATTCAAGAATCAAAGATTTGGAGAGTGCGAGGAGATATTTTTATGAAATGCCTGAGAAAAGTGTCGTGTCATGGAATGCAATGCTATCGGGTTATGCCCAGAACGGGTTTCCTGAAGAGGCTATAAATGTTTTCGATGAAATGATGAATGCTGGAGTTAAGCCTGATGAGACAACTTTGGTTGCTGTCATTTCCGCTTGTTCATTGCATGGTGATCCTCGCCTCGCAGAATCACTTGTTAAAATGATTGATGAGAAGGGTATCAGGCTGAATTATTTTGTCAAGACAGCACTTCTTGACATGTATGCAAAGTGTGGAAGCATTGTGGTTGCTAGAAAGATTTTTGATGAGTTGGGTGCATATAGGAATTCTGTCACATGGAATGCAATGATTTCGGCGTATGCACGGGTTGGAGATCTGAGTTCGGCCAGAGAGCTCTTTGATAGGATGCCCGAAAAGAATGTTGTCTCGTGGAACTCAATGATAGCTGGTTATGCTCAAAATGGGCAATCAGCAATGGCTATTGAGGTGTTCAAAGAAATGATCACAACCAAGGACTCAAAACCTGATGAGGTGACTATGGTGAGTGTAACTTCGGCTTGCGGCCATCTAGGGGCTTTGGAATTGGGCAATTGGGCTGCAAAAATCCTGACTGAAAATCATATTAAGTTGAGCATTTCTGGATACAACTCTTTGATTTTCATGTACTCAAAGTGTGGAAGCATGAAAGATGCTAAGAAAATTTTCCAAGATATGAAAACAAGAGATGTGATTTCTTACAACACTTTAATCACAGGGTTTGCAGCTTATGGCCATGGCCTGGAAGCAGTTGAACTAATGTGCAAAATGGAAGAAGAAAGTATTGAACCAGACCGCATAACACTTATTGGTGTTCTAACAGCTTGCAGCCATGCAGGCCTACTAGAAGAAGGCAAAAAGGTCTTTGAATCTATCAAAGCTCCAGAAACAGATCATTATGCTTGCATGGTTGATTTGTTAGGTCGGGTAGGTAAACTCGACGAAGCAAAGAGTTTGATTGAAGAAATGCCAATGCATCCTCACGCAGGAATTTATGGGTCACTCCTGAATGCTAGTCGAGTTCACAAGAGAGTTGATCTTGGGGAACTTGCTGCAAACAAGCTCTTTGAGATAGAACCAGAAAATTCAGGAAATTATGTTTTACTTTCAAATTTATATGCTTCGCTAGGGAGATGGGAAGATGTCAACAGGGTCAGAGGGGCAATGAGAAAAGGGGGAGTGAAGAAGACTACTGGATGGAGTTGGGTGGAATATGGTGGTAAGATGCATAAGTTCATCGTAGGTGATCAGTCACATGAACGATCAGAAGATATTTATAGAATATTGGCAGAAATGAAAAAGAAGATGAGGATTTCCGGATACATAGCTGATAAGAGCTGTGTGTTGAGAGACGTTGAGGAGGAAGAGAAGGAAGACATGGTTAGCACTCATAGTGAGAAATTGGCCATTGCGTTTGCTCTTCTCGTTAGTGAAGCAGGAGAAGTGATTAGGGTGGTGAAGAATCTAAGGGTATGCTGGGATTGCCATCTGGCAATAAAGATGGTATCAATGTTGGAGGGGAGGGAGATCATTGTGAGGGATAACAATAGATTTCACTGTTTCAACAATGGGGTGTGCTCTTGCAAGGACAATTGGTAAGAGTATGCAAAGAGTTATGGATTATCGCTCCTTGTAACTGAACACCAGAAGCATTGGTGTCACGCAATAGGTAACCATGGTTGGGGCCAGAAAAATGGAATTGTCTGCAGGTTCAATGCTGGTGATTTGATTTCTTTTTCCCGCAGGATTAACTAAAAGTAGTGGAAGAAATGAACCTTTGTAGATGTCAGTGATTTGTTCTGAAAAGTTATACTTCTGTCCACAAGTTAGTGAGAAGACAAAAGAAAGTAATGATAATCGAGGAATATAATATGATAGCTTACTCATGATGCAGGAGTTTTTCGTTCTTGAATTTTACCGACGGGAAAAGTGTTGATAGGAGCTGTTAAAGGGGTCCTGACTGAGTGACTTTGTGGAGGTCATACAGGAAGCGAATCAACTCAATGGCTTGTTTTGAACTGACACCTTACTTACCATATTGTTATACTTCGTGTTGATGACAATTGGAAGCATCGTAGTGAATGGGTTGGTATTGTCTAGGTAGCATATAACCCACATGGAGTCAAGAAAATAGCAGGCACTGAATCTGTTGCTGCAGCTTCAAGTTACCTGGTGGAGATGGCGGCATGTCTAGATGCTCTGTGGTGGGCTGTGCGAGAGGGCTGGACTTCTTGGTGTGGCATCAGACATTCTGCGACTAGTACAAGAAGCCCAGGGACCACAAGCTCGGGATAAAAAAGGCTTACCATGCAATTAGTTCTACTCTTGATTTGGGTACATGTTAGCTGTTATGAGATTATTTAAAACTCCAGGGGACGATGTCTCTGTTGCTGCTCATAACTGCTATTTGAGGGGTTCGGCTCTTCTGAAATGAGTTATGTTGTGAATTCTTCTGCTCTGGTTTAATGCTAAAATGTAGATATCCAGGAAGCTAATTGAGCACTTTGGACATTTACATGAAGCTCCACCTGGATTGAAACCTTTAGTTTCTTGATTTTAACTCTTATTGACTTTCGCTTACCAAATTCTCCCTAGCAGTTATGTCAGCTTCCTTCGTTCTCCCATGAGATGCCTGCATGGAGTCCTACTGTTGTTCTGTTTTTCCTTCGCCACGAGTGGTAATTGATTTCTTATTTCTCTTCGGAGGTGGAATATAGTTTTCTTCTTCCTTTTATTCTCACTGCTATTAGGCTATCCATGCTTTTGGCCAACTACTCCTCAGTACATGTGAGACCACCATGCAGGATTAATAGCCACCATGGTGACTAGCCCCAAGAGAAAAGTTGGAAAAGTCGAACATTCCACTTGGTGAAACTTTTGGGACGGCAAGACCAACTAGTCCATCTTTGGAACAAAAAAGAGAGGGAGTCAACTCAGAATACAACTGAGGGTCAAACTCTAGTTGGCTTTCCAAGATCGACAGATCAACATGAGAATGTCAAGAATGAGACTTCGAATGCTCCTGTTGCCTCTGGTTCTGCTTAACCCTGTCAAGCTCCCGGTGATGAATTTCACAACGCAGGTCCTAGTAGAAGAGGTCATAAACCCCTGAAAGGAAGACTCTGCTAGACATATTGTATACGCACAGAAGGATCCTTTTTTCATACCCACGCTTGGAATCGGACATATGGTTCACAAAATCTAAGGATAAAGGATCACATAGATATATCCAATTTAAGTTGAAGAGGCCTTTAATGTCTCAAAAAAAAGATCAGGGGAACTTGAAAATAAAAATGAAAGGGGAGAAGAGTGCACTCATTTGAGGCTTAAATTGCTGTAGTGGCCAACTCAAAACACTTTCACAATTTCCAACAATTTTCAAATCAAAATACTAAAAATAATTTCAACTGCATACATTGTCATTCTGCAGGGATGACGTTTGCGCCGTACCAACAACAGTCATGTCGGGCATGTTGCACCATGCTAGAATAGCAATGAAATTGAACGAATCAATGCAAGAACAAACATGAGATTCTGAGTTCAGAACATAAAATAGTCCAACTAAATGCACCAAAACCCAAGAGAAGAAGCATTTTAGCAGAATCTAAAAAGAAACGCACCAACAAATAAATGTCTGCCAGCCACTTCTAAAACACAAATGTCATAATATTTAGACAAAAGTTGAGGGCAGGAGAGAATTAGAAATTAAAATCCTTTCAGCAGGCATTCTAACTACCTTAAATAGGGGCCACTTTCTTAAGTTGTTTCATTGTGAAACGGTAAACCAACAAGTTCTAGACCTTTTATGCTCAGTTTGATTGGCTGCTCTCCAACTTCAGAATCTAGATTTAAACTCTAGCCCTCTTGCTACTGCAACCAGGGCACTTGTACTGCTTGATATGCTCAGCCTTGGCAGGTGTAATCTTTACACATTTTCCATGGAACCATCTCTCACACACATCACAGCAAATCCAGAATTCATCAGTCCCATAGTTATCTCCGCAAGCTCCACATAGTGTTGCTCCCTGTTCATCATCTTCTTCCTCCTCCTCACCATTCTCATCCTCTTCTTTTGGTGGAGGAGGCATCTTTACTGCCTTCGGCTGGGAGTCAGGTTGTCGAGACTGCTAAAAGGAAGCAACAAGACAATGAAAAATTTGAGCCTGAAACCAATAAGAAGGCAAGTAGAATGAAACATGACAAGTTCATGTTAAGCCGTACAGCTTACCGTTTTCGCACTTGATTTGCTTTTGTTGCTGTTGTTGTGTGTGGCAGACTGGTCCTTTGACTGCTTTACATTTCCGGTCACAAGTTCAAATACGGTTGGGAGATCATTGATCATCTGGAAAAGCCTCTTCCTGTAAACAGAAATGCCAATAAAAGTTAAAATCAACTTTGAGTATAAAGAATGAGGGAAAAAAAGAATAGAAAAGAAAAGAAACAAACAAATTGAGTGTGAAAGACCGTTTTTCCTGAAATAACTATAAACTAAGATATACTATATGGCCACATTCCCTTTTAGTTCCTTCAGCACAAGATGCTTCTTCTATAAATTGTATGGCTAAAAGAATATTTCCCAGTTGCATTGCTCAATGTGCCTCAACGTTGGTTTTGGTTTGCAGAACATATATCCACAAGGCAACCAACATAAGGATACAGAAAGTTGGAATTTAATTGTCAGGCTACACCAAGTTATGCCCCAATGATCCAAGTTGTAGAAGTGAGAGTATCCTTTAGTGACGCAAGGCAATATAGAATGCAGAAGGCTCAATGATAACAAGATGGTTTGGAACGGTAATCAAAAACTAACATTTCATGAAACTAAAAGGCCAGCATTTACTTGCTGCAAGATGCTACTATATATGATAGCTAAATATCTTGATTTAAGTCACAACACACTAAAGAAGGTTCACAATCATTCTTTTTAAGATCAAAAAACTTTGTGAAATGTTATCACTAGGGCTCCTATACATCAAGTCGGTGTACACAAATTAAAAGCTTCAAAAACATCCTAATTTTACATGATCATGCTAATAGGCACCACTAACCCTGCGCTACAAAATTCAACAAGATATTAGAGGAGCTAGATACTTATCGGTCCAAGATATTGTAGGAACTAGATATATTACATGAGAACCACAATGGCAGTGCCAACCCTGGTACTACAAAATTCAACAGTATATTATCGCGCTCTAATGAATAATTATAAAAACTGACACAATATTAATCAATGTTCCAACGGGTCACCATATCTTTAACCAACTTAACTGATTTCAAGGTCCTTCCATTTACTTTAAAGTACTCCACCCCAAAATTTTCTTTCGTCCTCTGTTAACTTGTGTGTATTTATATGTATTTATACTTATTTACCAGTACATATAGTCTCGTCTTGCTATTGTTATAGGGTTTTATATATTGTCTCTTGATATAAGATTTCATGGTATCTAGGATTTGAGAGGTATTGACCAAGACTTAGTGTGATCGATTTGATAATTCATTCCACCTTTGTTTGTCACATAGTGCAATTGGTATTCTCTGAATTTGTTCTCTTACTCTTAAATTTATTGAGTGTTGGAGCTCGTCCCGTGTCGATAAAACATCACATTCCAAACTTGTATATGAGACAAGTGGACATTTCCAGCATTATCAATTGGTTTTGGGTTGGATGCTTTGACATAGTATCAAAGTCATACAATGTTTCACACCAAGACTAAACCCATGTATGATTATAACAACACGTAATATAATGCACAAGTACAACAAAGTATGTTCACCATACATTTAGTCAGGAATTACATCATATTCAAGTCTTCTCCACACTAAGAGAGCTAAGGTACCTCCATCATACTATTACTAAACCAAAGGTCCAACTCAAGAATGAGCAATAGAATAAGAAAATGAAGTTTAAACAGCTCATCACTCCTACCTAACTGAACTTCTCTCATTGTTGCCAGAAAAATGACACATGCACACAGATGTTCTGTTGCAAAAACTATAAAAGGAAGGGGCAAAGTGCTATTGTGTCTATTAAGAAAGTACGGAAAATGATAAAAATTGCAGGGCCATCGACAAGGAAAATCATTTTTCTTTTCTTTAATTTGGCCATCAAGGATTTTTCATCCTCCACCATTAGACTCATCTAGTCATCTTTCCTCCAATCTGTTTAACTATATTTCACCTTTGGTTTATTACCCAAACAGTGTCACAGAATGTTTGTAATACTTCACCTCCCAGACAGCTTTCATATATTTAAAAACATTGAAACACCTCGACTAAGTACTAGCTCTGTAACCCCTCAAAAAGAGGGCAAGGGGAGGAGGGAGGCAGGAATATATCTGTCACATGGAGGCTTATTAGTGATGAATAAGATCATCACAGAACCCCAAAGTCCAGAAATAGTTTAAAAAAAAAAAACAAATACAATAACAAGGAAATCTGAGGTAACCAAAGTTGAAAGAGAGGAAGGTATGTCAAGCAAAATATAGCTCATGCATAACTAGAAAAAAAAACTGACGTCAACTGCAGCACCAAAAGTACGCAAATGTATTAAATGAGGGACATAGTTTATGCTCATGCATTTAAATAAAAATCTACCACAAGAACAACAAAAGCAAGAATGAATGAGCCTTTACAACTTGAAAGGTCTGCATTGTGATGTGGCAGGGCTGGGTCAGGAAAAGGAAAAAAAAATCTATAAACTATAAATAGTAGCAAACTTGTGCTCTATGTGATAAACAGGATTAGGATTCCAAACATTGAGCCGCAACATCAACTAGTATAAGGAGATATGACACAAGCACATTTTATAGCGGCAAAACCACCACTATTCAGAAGTCTAACCACAATTGCTCTCTAAGACAAAAAGGTGGAACACTTGCCATTGGACAATACAAGTAAACATAGAATATCTTGTCAGGTTTGAAAGATATTACCTTTCACTCTTACCAAACCCAAATCGTGCACCAAAATAGAATGCAACAGAAAGCAACCATGAATCGCTGTGAACTGCAACAAGTGACAACCAGTCCTTCTCTTGCATCCCATCCCTAGCAAAGTTTATACCTAATGCTGGTTCAGGAAGCTCGGGAGGAACCTCCTCGACAGGCAGGTTGACTTCCCATGTCTCATTTGGAAGCCCATACAGACACAGGTTCTCCTTCTCTGCAAGAACAACATCACTATCTTCAGAAACAACAAGCAACTCCAAATCTAGATATCATATCACACCCTTTCACATCAACGTATATGCTCTAGAATAATAACGCAGTGAATATACATTGCCATTACCTCCATTCATCAACAACCACAGAAAAGATTATCTATGTTTTTATTCTATCAAATTGTATTATCAGCAAAACTTTTACTGTTTCCAACAACCGAATTGAAGTGCTATAAAATTCTCCACAAGAGCAGAAATTTATGTCAATAACACCATCCTTGTTTTTGGATATTTGGAATACAAGTGACCATTGATTGAAACATATAAGTTCAGACAGATGTTCAATTCTAGGCTAAGGCAATGTAAAAGAAAGAGTAACTGAGTTGGCACTTAAAATCAATGACTATTGATGGTTATTTTAAAATTCAAAAAAAGGTGAACAAGTTAAAAGTGACAAGAAAGATGCAATAACAAGGTGCAGTGATAACAAGCCAAAGTGAGGCCATGGACAATGTCGATTAGTATTTAGTAACCTGAACTCTGTGAATAAAGACAATAGCACGCATACATGATGGATTTCCGTCTCTATTGGTATAGAATATGGGAAAGATGGTCCACCCCTATGCAGCTAAACTTATCATCTCTTTATTCCTTTTTTCCCTGAACATTGTCAATGCATTCTATGTGTGTCTCCAAGTACAGCTCAAAAAGAGGATCATCAACCACTGAATGTAAAATCACTAAACACTCAGCTAAAACAAACAGCCTTCAATGGTTTACACCACATCCAAAATTTGCTACACTTACAACCATCATCACAGAGCCAGTATTATGCATTTGGAATAGATGACAGTAAAAAGTACCAGTTGCTGGACATTTCCCCCACAATAAATCCCATAGGTTAATGTTTGCAGGTCAGACAAACAAATAGGAAATTTAGGGTGGGGGGGGGGGGGGTGGAACCACTGTTTATTACAACAATGAACTGGAAAAAAGGAATGTTGATCATGGATTGATTAACTTCTTCAAAAGTTCAAAACATTCTAAAAATGATAGCCCAATGCACGAGGGTCATGCAATTGTTGAGTCTAGGAAGGATTAGATGTATACACAAGGGTCATGCAATTGTTGAGTCTAGGAAGGATTAGATGTATACAATCTTAGCCCACACACAATGAGGTTGTTTGTGCGACTTGAACCCTTGACGCCCAAGTCACAACGGAGCAACCATACCACTGCGCCAAGAACCACCCTCCTTCAAAACATTCTACTACAAAATATATTCAAAGCAACAAGCACGCTTCCAGAATAAGAATAAAGAAGTTAAGCAACCTGTAGCTGAAGGTCAAGAGAGGCTGCATACAAACCCCCCCCCCCTCCCCCAAAAAGAAACAAAAAAAAACCACACACACACACAGATGAACACTCCGCCTCACTACTGTAGACCTCCCACATTACATAATTATGAAGTGAAAAAGGGGTCAAATAAAAATATAACCAGAAAAATTTAACAACTAAAAGTGCAATTAATAATCTATTATACAGACAAAGAATAATTAAATGTAAAAAGACAGTACATAATAAGAACCGTGATAATAGGGTAAGAGCTCACCAGGGTCGCAACGCTGATAAAACTTATCCACTTCTGCAATAAACGCACAATGATTTAAATTAGAACCAAACATAAAAAATTTAAAACCCAGAAAAGAGAAAGAGGACCCAAAAGAGGAAAACCAAAACAGTCTCATAAATATACACAAACACAAACGCTAACATATATACATATACACGCATACACAGAAACGAACCAATGGTAAGAGCCTTGATCAAACCAGCTCTTCTGCCTTTGAAGTCGGTGAACACTTCCTCTACAGTCCTCGGTATCGGATGTGGTATCGCCTCCATTTTCTCGTCTCTTCTCTTCTCAGATATAAGCCACAAATTTATGTAGAAAGATGAATTAGAACAAAACCCACAAAATCTAGTGCTGGTCACACAGAATTAAGGGAGAAATGCTTAATTAGGGTTTATGAAAAAGCTAGGATTTCTTCTTCATGATGCCAAATTACATATGGATATAGTCATATACGTATATGTGTGTGTGAATTAAGTGTAATTTGGGAGATTTTGAGAAGGAAGATAGAGAAAATATGAGAGACTAGAACTGGATTGAAGGGGAAGAATGAGAGGAAACAGCGGGAAGGGGAATAACAATGAGAGTTTATGTAATTTTGCTCATTTTTGGGGGTCAGCGATTTTGTCGTCCAATAAGGGAAAGTATGCTTACGTACCTCAAGTTTCAACTAATTACGTGAAACACCCATTACTGGTTTCTAAAATTATTCTGTCACCCCATATCAGAGTTGACCATAACCATCAGTAACAAGGACTATACATTTGCCAATTTGCCCATGCATATTAAAGCTATTTCAATGGGTGATTCCATATTCATTTTCTCTCTCTCTCTCTCTCTCTCTCTCTATGAAAAGCCCTAATGAAGAAAGGTGCCCGCCATTTCTGGTTGAAGCTGGAGGCTCAAGCCAAGCCTTTGGTGGTACTTGAATTTTCTGTTTGTCATGTTGATTTTGATTGAGGTGGTAGGTTGAATTCTAATTATTTTTAAGATTAAGTTAAATTTCACTTAAATTCATTCTTTTTGGATCTTAGTTGACCAATGGTTTTGGAAGCAATGTGTAACTGCTTGTGTTGTTGGTTCTAAATCGTCTTTGAAATCAAAACCAGTTTGACAAGTGATGGTAGCATAATTCATCACTAGTGGGCTTTATTGTAATTATTAGAGACTCAATGGGTGAAAATGTAATTTACCTATAATGTGCCCAACATCATATACATAACAAGTGTGCTATTTTTGACTCCACGTGTTAGAACATGATTGGATGGCCTAGTAAATAACAGTGGGCTAACTACAATGTGACTATTTGTTATATTTTAAACTGAAAAAGAGAAGAGAAAAACACAAACCCCACACTAATTGTATCCATTTGGCAAGGATTCAAATGATATAAAGTTACTTGTTCATCAAGTAATTTATTTTGTACTTTTATGAAATTTGAATTAATATATCTCAAATATCTACAAAGAATATACAAAATTTAAACTAACCAAATTTAGAACCAACTAGGTTGTTCAAATGATGAGGCAAAACTCAAATAATCAATTAAATATTGTTGGGCCCTTTGTTGGAGTTTGAGGATGGGAGTATCAAAGTATGACACAATTCGTTAATACAACACAAAATTTGAGAGTTTGAGTATTTCTTAAGCCACTCATTTCGTAAACTAGTAAATCTAGCGATTAATAAATGAATTGGATATAAATGAAGTAAAATTTTTATCAAAAAAATATAAGACACGACTGATTTATATATATATATATATATATATATATGATATTCATACATGACACGAATCTAATATCACATAATTTCTTTAGACACAAATCAAATATGAGTAGAGTATTTTTTAACATAAACCTGCTAAGACCTAACACAAATTCGCTTTATCTGATATGGGTGACAGGCCTAACTGAGGGGATTCTATATCATTTGAACTATACTTTTGATCTAAATATTTACTCAGAATAGCATGACTAAAAAGAATATAATGCTCAACGAGATGACATAAAGGACATATTGAAAATAATGTTTTAAAATAAAGCAGGGATTGATAGTTCAAATTTCAACAATGGAACACAAAAAATTTCCAGTAATCTCATTTATGTATTGGTAATTGGAGGATTCATCATTTACTATAATTTTGTTCTACTCATAGGAAATTATAATTTATTGGGTGAATGACACTTTACACCTTAGAAAATTCTCAAATTATCAATTTATATCCTAAAAAATTAAAATTTTCACACTAACCCCTCAATTAAATAAAAAAACATGTAGTAGTCCAAAAGTAAATATTTGTTGTCTTTTCTAACAAATCTTGTTGTCTTATTTCTCATATTATCCTTTTTATATAATACTCAATTTTAAGTGTTTTCAAAAGAAATTTGGTAACATTGCTAACTTTTTTTTTTTTGCAATATGAAGATTTCATTTTTTTTAGAATGTAAATCAAGAATGCGAAATTTTTGGGCAAAGTGTCCTTTATCCTAATTTATTTCAAATAAATGTATAATAAAGCGTCTTTTCATTTATTTTTTCATCCCAAATCAACTACAACTCCTTAAATCAAAATCACTACAATTGTATGAGATGAAAAATATTTTGATGATTATGATTCTTGTTAATCCAATTACCTCAATTGCTCATTGACATAGTTGATTTTGTGCAATTGACTAGATGCGTAGCTAAATAAAATGAAAGTGTTAATAAATAATTATAAAATTGGGTTGTGTGTCATGAACGAAAGACCAAATTTGGTTCTTAGGTACTTGGGGTGTAAACAACTACATGAATTTAGCCTAGTTGATCAATGTTTGGAAGTTTTATTATCAATCTTTTAGACTACTTTGGGTGTTTTTGTTCCTTCACTAAAGATGTTTTGTTTTCTTTAGGTTTGAGCTTCATTTCATAGAATTCAAGAAAGNAAAAAAATATAAGACACGACTGATTTATATATATATATATATATATATATATGATATTCATACATGACACGAATCTAATATCACATAATTTCTTTAGACACAAATCAAATATGAGTAGAGTATTTTTTAACATAAACCTGCTAAGACCTAACACAAATTCGCTTTATCTGATATGGGTGACAGGCCTAACTGAGGGGATTCTATATCATTTGAACTATACTTTTGATCTAAATATTTACTCAGAATAGCATGACTAAAAAGAATATAATGCTCAACGAGATGACATAAAGGACATATTGAAAATAATGTTTTAAAATAAAGCAGGGATTGATAGTTCAAATTTCAACAATGGAACACAAAAAATTTCCAGTAATCTCATTTATGTATTGGTAATTGGAGGATTCATCATTTACTATAATTTTGTTCTACTCATAGGAAATTATAATTTATTGGGTGAATGACACTTTACACCTTAGAAAATTCTCAAATTATCAATTTATATCCTAAAAAATTAAAATTTTCACACTAACCCCTCAATTAAATAAAAAAACATGTAGTAGTCCAAAAGTAAATATTTGTTGTCTTTTCTAACAAATCTTGTTGTCTTATTTCTCATATTATCCTTTTTATATAATACTCAATTTTAAGTGTTTTCAAAAGAAATTTGGTAACATTGCTAACTTTTTTTTTTTTGCAATATGAAGATTTCATTTTTTTTAGAATGTAAATCAAGAATGCGAAATTTTTGGGCAAAGTGTCCTTTATCCTAATTTATTTCAAATAAATGTATAATAAAGCGTCTTTTCATTTATTTTTTCATCCCAAATCAACTACAACTCCTTAAATCAAAATCACTACAATTGTATGAGATGAAAAATATTTTGATGATTATGATTCTTGTTAATCCAATTACCTCAATTGCTCATTGACATAGTTGATTTTGTGCAATTGACTAGATGCGTAGCTAAATAAAATGAAAGTGTTAATAAATAATTATAAAATTGGGTTGTGTGTCATGAACGAAAGACCAAATTTGGTTCTTAGGTACTTGGGGTGTAAACAACTACATGAATTTAGCCTAGTTGATCAATGTTTGGAAGTTTTATTATCAATCTTTTAGACTACTTTGGGTGTTTTTGTTCCTTCACTAAAGATGTTTTGTTTTCTTTAGGTTTGAGCTTCATTTCATAGAATTCAAGAAAGGGGTTGCACCAATCAACACATGGATGTGAAAGAGGGGTGAAAGATGAAGAGAATGATGTTGGAATCACTGGATTTGGTTGAGAATCGAGGGAGAACAATGAGCTAGAAGTTCAAGTAGTTGGAGTAAGGAACAAGGAGGAAGGGATGGAGGAGCAAACACATGGATTTGAAAGAGGGGCGAAAAATGAAGAGAATGACATTGGAATCACTGGATTTGGTTGAGAATCGAGGGAGAACAGTGGGTTAGAAGTTCAGGTAGTTGAAGTAAAATACAATGAAGAGGAGGTGAAGGAGAAGTAACCCATCCCACCGACGTGTGAGGGTGTGGTGGGGAGGCTGCTAAGGTTGTGGTTGGTCCCTATTAAGTCCTCTCCTCACCAGCTTTCAAACCATATGTGGTTTACCCACATCCGACACTATATGTATATTGCACTAAAAATGACCGTTTTGCCCTTTACCATATCCGATTTTTGCACCTAATGCAATTTTTTACAAAACCAAATTATTTTCTATGTTTTAATAGGTCTTAGGGACTTATATTTGAATTGTCTCTAAAAAGTTTGATCATGTGATTTTTGACAATTGATGAGCCCGAATTTTATTGGGCCAAGCCCCATTCAAATAAGCCAACAAAGCCCAATGGAAAGTCCAATCAAGACTGGGCGACCCGTCATGAGGAAACCCAAAAGGCATCCAGAGATCAGCACCTAAAGCACCAAGAGCCAATGCTCAAAGCACTTGGGGCGCCGCCCAAGGGGCACCTGAGCTAGGCGTCACCCAAGGATGCCCCCTGGTTCTCCTACGTCCTCTTGACTCCCATGCAAGCCCAAGTCCAGCCCAAGTCCAAGTCCAAGCTCAATGTCAGGATTAGCCCAGCTCAGCATCATCCTCCGACGGAATAGAGACAGGAGCAAGAGAATATCGGGATACGGAGATTCAATCCTACTAAATTTGTACTTACCAAAATAGGAGAAACCCCCCTTCTCACGTCACTATTTTGGTGAACCTATATAATGTAAGTCCTCTGTACATAGAGGGCATGCCTTCATGACCTTGAGATCCCAACACATAATACACTTTCCTATACACATTGCTCTCTCTCTCTCCCTGTAAGCACTATAATATTCCTAGAGAGTACTCTCTTCGGCGACTTCATTCATTAATAAAAGACTCAAACCACCACTGTCGTTCCCGAGAGTGAAGTAGGTCACCCGAACCATTATAAATCTTTGTGTTGATTGCCTATTTAATGTTTTTGCTCTTGATTGTCATTGATTACTTGTTGATTGTTCATTAATTACACTCGTTACATATTTTTGACTGTTGATTTTTGCACAATACCGATTTGTGTATCATTAGTTTGGCGCCGTATGTGGGAATCAACTAGTTTTCTACTCTCTTTCAATCTAAGACAATCACTACTAGATCAATGAGCCAACAGCTAGGAGACAACAACCCTGCCCATC